TAGCTACAAGAATAGCTACAGGAAACTAAATGATGCACATTTGTGACTTTTGAACTTTCTAAAAGCTTGAAATTTTGGAATTTTTGGAAAATTTGGAAATACTGGAATTTTTCTTAGCAACATATTTTTTATTCTTAACAGGCAATTAAACAATAAAGTGCTCGTAGCCCTTGGTACAATGTTAATGATTTTTTCCCTCAAAATTTAGTAGTCTTTGTAATCAAACAGTGTCTGTCTGGGGAGGAATCAATCTGTAAACCAAAAAGCAAGTTTGAAATGGTCCCTGAAAGACTCCTACAAACGGCCAAAAGGAATACCCATAAGCCTTTATACTAAAATACTTATTTGTTTTGTATTTTAAAAAACGTTTAAATAGCCCCTTCTTGCAGTTTTACTGATATAATTGGCATATAATGTTGTATATTAGTTTAAGGTATACAACATAATGATTTGATATATGTATATGTTGCAAAATGATTACCACAGTAAGTTTAGTTAACATCCTTCATCTCACATATTTGCAGTTATTTTTTTCCTTGTGATGAGAACTTTTAAGATTTCCTCTCTTAGGTACTTCGAAATACACAAGACAGTATGGTTAACTACAGTCACCCATCCATTTCGTCCCCATTCCCCCACCTCTGGCTTCTATCAGTCTCTTCTCTGTTTCTGTTAAGTTCAGCTTTTATAGATTCCACATATAAGTGAGATCATACAGTCTTTGTCTTTCTCTGTCTTACTTATTTCACTTAGCATAATACCCTCAGGGTCCATCCATGTTCACAAATGGCAAGATTTTCTTTTTTTGTGACTGAATAGTATTTCACTTTACATAGAAGTGGAGTTGCTGGATCACATGGCAGTTTTATGTTTCATTTTTTGATGAACCTCCATTCTTTTTCCATAGCGATTGTACCAATTTACATTCCCACCAACACTGTACATCCCCCTCCACATTGTTATCTCTTGTCTTTTTTTTCTTTTTAATCCTCACCCGAGGATATGTTTCTATTGATTTTTTTTTTTTTTTTAATATATCTTTATTGATTTCAGAGAGAGGACAGGAGGGGAGAGAGAGAGACAGAAACATCAATGATGAGAGAGTCATTGATCGAGCCCGCAACCCGGGCATGTGCCCTGACCGGGAATCAAACCCCGATCGCCTGGATCCTAAGTCGACCCTCAACCGCTGAGCCATGCCCGGCCGGGCTGTTTCTATTGATTTTGAGGAAGAGAGAGAAAGAGAGAGGGAAACATCAGTGTGAGAAACATGAATCCATTTCTTCCTGTATGCACCCCAACTGGGCATCAAACCCATCACCTTTTGGTGTACAGGACAATGCTCCAACTAATTGAGCCACCCAGCCAGGGTTCTCTCGTCTTTTTGTATGACAGCCACTATATGAAGCAGTATCTCATCCTGGTTTTTGATTTGCTTTTCCCTGATGGTTAGTGATGTTGAGTATCTTTCACGTACTTGTTGGCTATCTGCCTGTATGTCTTCTTTGGGAAAATGTCTATTCAGGTCCTCTGCCCATTTTTCAGTTTTTCAATTGGCTTGTTTTTCTCGTATTTGGTTGTATAAGTTCTTTAGATATTTTGGATATTCACTCCTTATTGGATGTATGATTTGCAAATACCTTCTCCCATTCAGTGGGTTGCCTTTTCATTTTGTTGATAGTTTCCTTTGCTGTGCAAAAGCTTTTTAGTTGGATGTAATTCCATTTGTTAAGTTTTGCTTCTGTGCTTTCTTAAGGAGACTGGTCCAAAAAAGATAGTGCTAAGACTAATGTCAAAGAGCTTACAGCCTATGTTTTTTCCTAGGAATTTTGTGGTTTTGGGTCTTACATTTAGGTCTTTAATCCATTTTAAGCTTATTTTTATATATAGTTTCATTTTTTCATGTATTTGTCCAATTTTCCCAACACCATTTATTAAATAGACTGTCTTTATCCCATTGTATATATACTTGCCTTCTTTGTCAAATATATGTATATATTTTAAAATGTATCTTTATTGATTTCAGAGAGGAAGGGAGAGGGGGAAAGAGAGAGAAACATCAGTGATGAGAGAGTCGTCATTGATTGGGTGCCTCCTGCATGCCCCAACTGGGGATTGAGCCTGCAACCCGGGCATGTACCCCTGACCTGGAATCGAACCATGATCCCTGGGATCCTAGGTCGATGCTCAACCGCAGAGCCATGCCCAGCTTGGCTTTGTCAAATATTAATTCACCATATAGGTATGAGTTTATTTCTGGGCTCTCAGTCCTGTTTCATTGATCTATGTGTCTGTTTTTATGCCAGTACCATGCTGTTTTGATTACGCCAGCCTTACAGTATAGTTTGATATCAGGTAGCATGATTTCTCCAACTTTGCTCTTTTTTTAAAAAAATGTTTTTATTGATTTTTAGAAAGAGAGGAAGGGATGAGAGAGAAACATAAATTGGCTGCCTCCTTGCAGGCCTCCTGCTGGGGATCAAGCCCGAAACCCGGGGAGTGCCCTGAATCGAACCTGCAGCCTCCTGGTACACGGGACCATGCCCAATCCACTAAGTCACACCAGCTGAGCCAACTTTATTTTTTTCTCAAGATTACTGTGGTATTTGGAATCTTTTGTGGTTCCATATAAATTTTAGAATTATTTGTCCTAGTTCTGTGAAAAATGCCAATGGTATTTTGATAGGGATCACAGTGAATCTATAGATTGCTTTGAGTTGTATGGACATTTTAATGATGCTAATTTTTTCTATCCACAAACATGATATATGATTCCATTTATTTGTATCTTCAATTTTTTTCATCAGTGCCTTATAATTTTTTGTGTACAGGAATTCTACCTCTTTGGTTAAATTTATTTCTAGATATTTTATTTTTGATGCAATTATAAATGGATTTTCTTAATTTTTGTGATAGTTTAATATATAGTTTGTGTATATAACTGCAACCTATTTTGAATATTAATTTTCTATCTTGCTGCTTTACTGAATTCAATTTTTGGTTATAATAGTTTTTGTGTGGAATCTTTAGAGTTCTCTATGTATTGTATTATGTCCACTACAAATTGTTACACTTTTACTTCTTTCCAATTAGGGTACCTTTATTTATTTTTCCTTGTCTTAATTGCTATGGCTGGGACTTCTAATGCTTTCAATATGTTGAATAAAAGTGGTGAAAGTGGACAACCTTGACTTGTTCCTGATCTTAAGGAAAACACTTTTAGCTTTTCTCCATTAGTATGATATTAGCTGTGGGTTTGTCATATGACTTTTATTATGTTGAGGTATGTTCCCTCTATTCTTACTTTGTTAAGCATTTTCATTACAAATTGATGCTGGATTGTGTCAGATACTTTTTCTGCATCTATTGATCAGATCATATAATTTTTGTGCTTTTTTTTTTATTTGACATGGTGTATCATGTTAATTGATTGGCAGATATTGAACCACCTTGCACCCCATGTTGGGAGGTTCTTATTACTGATTTAATTGCATTACTAATAATTAGTCTATTCAGAATTTCTATTTCTTTATGATTGAGCCTTGGTAAGTTGTTAGTTTCTAGGAATTTTTTCAATTTTTTTAGGTTGTCCAATTTGTTGGCATATAATTGTTCAGAGCAGTCTTTTATGATCCTTATATTTCTTAGATATTAGTTTAATGTCTCTTTTATTTCTGATATTATTTATTTGAGTCCTCTTTTTTTCTTGGTGAATCTAGCTAGTGGTTTGTCCATTTTATTTATCTTTTCAATTAAACAGCTCTTAATTTCCAGGTCTTTTCTGTTGTTTCTAGTCTCTGTTTTATTTATTTTCATTCTGATCTTTGTTGTTTCCTTCCTTCTACTAACTTTAGACTTAATTTGTTCTTTTTTTTTCTAGTTCTTTGAGGTGTAAAGATAGGTTGTTTATATGAGCTCTTTTGTCTTAATGTAGTAGTTTATTGCTATAAACTTTCCTCTTAGAACTGCTTTGGCTGTATCCCATAAGTTTTACTGTGTTGTAGTTCCATTTTCATTGGTCTCAAGGTATTTTTTTTATTTTCTTTTGATTTTTTTCTTTAACTCAAGACATACTTTATTCATAGAATATTTTAAATGTTTATTCAGCAATTGATAGTGCATTTTAACATGCTTAGTGATTTGTTATTTAACCTCAGGATGTTAGAAGTAGCAAGGAACTGAAACAGTGGCAGAATGGAGGATTGACAACTGGCAGCAAGGGAAGCACTATTCAAAACAGACGGAAGTTAAATGAATAGTATTGTACGACCATTTAGTAGAAGGACAGGGAATCCTCTGCAGACCTTGTTTCTTTGTGCTCAAGTAATAGTTATAATAATTTGAGTCACTCAGGAAATGTTCAATTTGGTTATTTATACTCCATTTTCAAAGTAGGAAGTGTATATTTTCATTGGCATCCTTTATATTCATAATAACTATAATTCTCTGAACACTAACTATATACTGGTCATACTAATCCTTTTACTTATATTATCTAATTTATCCTTTAAATAATCCTGGGAAGTTGTTTTATTATTTCCATATTACATATGAGGAAATTATTACTTATGAGGAAATTATAACTCAGAGCTTAACTGAACAAAACAAATTTTATGGGTAATGAGTGATGGAATCAGGATTTTGAACCTATATCTGAATATCTCTGAAAGTACCTGCTTTTATCCACTACAGCATGAATCATCCATACAAATTAAATTATTGTCACCTTCACGCAACCACCCTTTGTCAGGCACTATTATTCCCTTTTGAGGCCCAGATAATCTGAGTACCTTAGATGAAATCCAAGTAGCAATACTAGATTTTGCTGTTAGTCTTTATTTTTTTCTTGCCGAGAAAATGTACTACTGAGAACCATTTCTAATACTAGATAAATTAGGTTTTACTGAAACAGTTTTAAGCTTATTTAACTTTTTAAAATTTTTGTTTAGAGCGTAGATTCTAGCAGCCAAGCTTTTCCCATAGAGTTCTCACAAAGTTAAATAAATGATGAACTATGAAATGTTTTGAGATGCTCTGTAGAAATATAGTAATAAAAAAACTATTATGAACACCTGTTACACAGCAGGCACTGTTTTAGCACTTTGTTGGCATTAACTAATTTAATCCTTACAATTGCTCTAGGAGGAATATGTTTTTCCTAACTATTTTACAATGAGGAAACTGAAGCACAAGGAGGTTAACAAATTGACCAACGTTACCCCATTCTAAATGGCAACAGGATTAAAATCCAGCAGTCTAGTAACTCTGGCGTCCAAATACCTGTCTTCACACTATGTACTGCCTTTCCCCAAAATAATTTGAAGCATAAGTTTTCAAACTTACATATAGTCTTGTAGACTATGACTTCCCTACCCTTTATATTGTTTTATTTTTTAAATGGATTGAAAATAAAGAATGATATTACAAAGGACTGAAGAAAAATACATGCACCATTGAATCATTGGTTTATTTTGGTGGTTACTGGAATCAAGTGACAGGCTGTAATTTCATATTTATCCACAAGATGGTGAAATTCTCATTAGTTTTTAATTTCTTGAAACCCATATAAACCGTTAATTTATAATCTGCATTTGACACCATTTATTATAAGCACTTTAATTTCTTTTTACAGCCCATCTGCTGGCAAGGCCAAGATTAGAACAGCTCACAGGAGAATCATGATTTTGAATCACCCGGATAAAGGTAAGTAAAGTTCTTATTTTTTCATAATATGTGGATCAGAATCTGCTCTGAATTTCTTTCAGTTTACTTAAACTCATTATAAATGATTTATAGTTGAAATGGAAGTTTATATGCCAGTGTATTGTGATTTTTCTTATAATAAATGAGGCTTTAGATTGAGGTTCAATGACCCACAGAAGTGGTGGGGATATATTCTCAGCTTTTAAGAACTTAGTTACTGATTTTTATATAGTAGTACCTCACCCCTGTTTGAGGCTGCTAGCATTTTGAATGAGAAAGAGAATACATGAGTTATGGGCTTTCTGATTATGTAAACTGATTTTTACATCAGGAATTACATTTGTTTAACCTTAAGTATAAAAGCACAAGACTTAGAGGATGTCCTCTAAATCTCTGAATATGATATGTCATAGATGACTCTGAATGTCTTAGTTTTATTCTAGAAGGATCTGAGGCTGAGCCATTTTTTTTTTTTTTAAATATATCTTTATTGATTTCAGAGAGAGGAAAGGAGAGGGGGAGAGGGAGAGATAGAAACATCAATGATGAGAGAGTCACTGATTGAGCCCACAACTCGGGCATGTGCCCTGACCAGGAATCCAACCCCGATCACCTGGATCCTAGGTCGACGTTCAACTGCTGAGCCGCACCCGGCCGGGCTGAGCCATTTATTTTTAACTGGCCAGGTTTTTAATGTAAATTTATCTTACAGAAAGACAATTATTATAACTTTAACTACACTACAGCTGCTTGAGAGAGAAAGCCCATATGTTCATTACTGTTTCTGCTCTAAAATAACAGATGGTAGAAAGTTGCACTGTATTTTAGAAGTCAAGGTGGGGAGTAGGGGGAGCAGAGGGAAGTGTTCCTTGGATTCTTATTTATAGACTTTCAGTTTTATAATTATTTTGAAAAAAATTAAAAACAATTTTGGATGCATACTCATCTTAACTGACACCAAAATAAGACTTTTTTTTCAGCTTTCTCACTTAATTACTTACTATAAAAATTCTTTTTACTAAACATTATCTCCTTTGGTTTTTGCACTTGCTGGTTTTTAGTGTGAATAAACAAGGGAATCAACTTTGAAATGAGGTTTTTCTTAAAATTTCTAAACAGCTTCAACAGTTACTGAAAGATCCACTCAGCTAATTAACTTTGTATTGTGGACTTTCAGAGTAATTGCCTCAGAAAAAATGTGTTTAAGTGCCTCCTTGAAGCCTTCTGTCTCCTAAACATCCTCTGTCCCCTCCAGGTCTAGTGTACGCCCTTCTTTTATTGATTGCAGTAGGATCAAGCACTCACGTCTTTTAGATGATGGACAGGTTATTGATTGTGCCTACTGGCAAGGAAGGATGTTCTAAAGTGTATCTAAGAGAATATGTATTTTTAGATATCTTCAGTAAAAAGAGAAAATGTTTATATATCTTATGATCCAGTAGTGTTTAAAGAATTAATAACTTGATTTATTCTGAGATTGTATACTTATCAGAGGTGGACTGCTGACTGCCTGCAGCGTGCTTACTATATCCTCCTCTCTGTCCCAGTGTGGGTAGCAGGGTGTGAGGGCATGGATGTTGAAATAGGAGGCAGTATTTTTCTCTGCTTCTGTCTTCTAGCTAGCAACAGCCTCACCACTTCCCTTAACCTCTCCAAATTCAATTTTATGATCTACAAAACGAAGGAATTTATTTCTAAAGCCCTTTTTGATTATATGATATAGTATAATACCTTTATATGCCTATTTAATTAATGAAGAACTTATACCCTGTATTTTTATTCAGTTCACATTTTTTATATCATAAAGATTCTTTTAATCTCTTTGGATTATTGTTCCCTCTAAGAATGTGCTGACAACTGTGGACATTTTGCCCATATAATTGCTCATTCACCCAAAATTTTAAAATATTTGGATTTTTAGAGAGTTCGTAAACTTCCTAAAATTTATTTGTGTACACATACTTAAGAATCCCTGCTCTAGTAAAAGTAGGGTGACTTAATGACTATTGGAACTACTGTAGGGAAAGAACTTGTGCATGATAGAGTTGTGAGGTAATAGCTTATAAATCTGTAAATTGTCTCTTGAGAAGGGAAGTTGTTTTATTTTGGGGTTTTTTTTGGTTTGTTTTTTTAAAAATTTTATTTTTGTTTAAAATATTACAGATTTCCCTTTTTCTGCCCAATGACCCCTTCCACCCCGTCCCATCCCCCTCCCCAGTTCCTCTCCCCACGATTGTCCTTTTCCTTGGGTTGTGCATATATGCTTATAAATTCTTTGGTTATTCTCTCCCCTCCACCCACCTGCCCTCCTCCGTCCCTCTGACATTCGTCAGTCTCATCTATGCTTCCATGTCATTGAATCTATTCTATTCATCAGTTTATTAAGTTCTTTAGATTCCATGTATAAGCGAGATCATGTGATGTTTGTCTTTCTCTTTTTGTTTTGTTTTTAATGGGAAGAAGATAACCAACTGATTTTAAACAAAATTGTCTGATTTTCCTTGGAGAGAAAGCCAGGAGTATTTGAGGAAGTATGAGAGTGGCCAGCCTTTTTTTTTTTTTTTAATTGCTTTAAATTTTGCAATTACAGTGGACATTCAATATTATATTAGTTTCAGGTGGTTAGACATTTATATAATTTATGGAGTGATCCCTCTAATAAGTGTAGTATCCACCTTATTTTTAACTGTACTTTGTATTGAAGTATAATATACAGGTAGAAATTGCACAAGTTATAAGTATATAAGTAAATTTTACAAACACGCCTATGTAACCAGCTCCCAGATCAAGAACTAGAACATCATTGTACCTTTGAAACCCCCTGAGAATGCCCCCCCCAGTCTACCTCACTCTTTAAAGGAACTACTATCTTGATTTATATTATCATAGGCTAGTTTTGCCTCTTGAATGTGTGTAATAGTTTGCATCTGGCTGCTTTTAGTCAATATTATTTTTGTGAGATTCATCCATATTGTAATGTGGAATAATAAATAGTTTGTTCATTCTCGTTGATATGTAGAAGCCATAGCAAAGTGTGCTTTGAAGATAATCAGGGGTTCCTGAGACCCTCTCAGAAACTCTGTGAGGTGAAAACTCTTTTCCTTTTACTGTGCTGACATTTGCACTGATGGCACAGAAGCATCAGTGAGTAAAACTGCTGGTGCCTTCACACTGATAAAGGCAATAGCACCAATGCATTCGTATGTTCATGTGGAGAAATTAAACTTCGACCCTATCTCACACTATACAGAAAATTAATTCCTAATGGACTTTGACCTAAGTGGGGGAAAAATAAAACAATAATGCTGCTATATGTTTTTTGTTTATTTTTTGTTTTTAAATATGTCTATTGATTTCAGAGAGGGGAAGGGAGAGAGAGAGAGAGAGCAACATCAATGATGAGAGTCATTGATCGGCTGCCTCTTGCACGCCCTCTGCTGGGGATGGAGCCCGCAACCCGCGCATGTGCCCTGACCGGGAATCAAACTGCAGTCTCCTGGATCATAGGTCTGGGATGCTGCTATGTTTTTTTAAAAAAAACAGAATAGGCAGGCATTTCTTAAACAGGGCATAAAAATAAGCATATATGCATAGCTGATGGACACAGACAATAGACAGGTGAGGACCAGGGGTGGGTTGGGAGATGAGTGGATGAGGGCAAAGGGGGGGAAGTGGGGGACATATGTAATACTCTCAACAATAAAATAGATTTTTTTTTTTTAATTTAAAATATAAAAAAGGCCACACAAAAAAGGTTACTGTTTATTTAAAGAAATAAAAATGTTCTTCTGTTTACAAGAAAAATTAGCCTGTAATTTTGCTGCTTTGGAAAGTTGATAGATATTGTTATCAGGGTTACTCTGGCCTCTTAAAAGGAATTGGGCAGTGTTTTCCTTTATTTTCTAAACAAACTTGTATAACATGTGCTATTTCTTTATTTAATTATTTGTAAGAATTCACCAGTGAAGCCAGCTGGGCTTGGAGACTTCTTTGCAGAAAAGGGAGCCCTGTGTTCTTGGCTGCATCAGTCCAGTTTGGAGCCTCTGCCTTGCTGAGCTGGGAGGGGGAAAGGAGAGAGCCATTTTAGTTCAAATACCACAAATTCCTGCTTTTCTTCCTGAATTTTCATAGATTTTTCTTGAGTAGCTGTTCCTTTTTTATTTTTGCTTTTAAGACCATTTTCAGAGGCTTCAAATGGTTGGGACTTTTTAATATAGTTTTCACCCATTTCACTGTGGAACAGATCAGTGGAACTCCTCATGCCAGAAATCAAATTCCTATCTGCCTCCACATGATTTTAACATCTTTATTTTTAGAAAGGTGGGTGGCCTTTAAGAACCCTTCAAATCAGCAGATGTAGTACTACTTTCTTACAGATTTGGAATGGAGACATTCATAAGTTTTAATGAGAGTTAAGGAATATGAAAAATCAATGATAAGATCTGCCTAAAAAAGACCCAAGGATAAAGGGGAATTTGTGTCTTAATCCTCAGATTGGTATGCTAATTATGAAATGTACTTGAGCAATAAATTATACCTAACTTTGAAATAAGTGTTAATTGTAGAATGTTGGTTTATTTTCTCTTGTGTTAGTTAGGATTTCTTAAACAGATGTTTTGTAGTCTTATTTTCTTTTTTTAAAAGCACCCACTCCTAACACACTTGTTTACCTATTTTCTCTGTCTTGAGTGGTTTTACCTCTTTGAAGCTGGTACTTGATGCAAGAATATAACTTATTCTCCTCATCATCAAAAGCATTTGTCTTGAGTCCCATGTGTGTACTCAGAGATGTGTTGATCATACAGAGAAATGTGAGACATGATTGCTCTTCAAGGTATTTATTATCTAATGGATGGATAGACATGTATTTTAAAATATAAATCACAAGGCATGATTGCTTTTTAAAAAATTTATTGTTGAAAATATTACAGATGTCCCATTTTTTATGCCACTTAGCTCCCCTCTACCCCTCATCCGCCCCAACCTCAGGCCTTCCGCAT